CTGATGCTTGCTTCTTCTTGCCCGCACGCTGACTTGTCACACTTTTGCTTTTGCGAGTAGAACGATCGCAGGCAAGAGGGATGGGCGCATCCACATAATTATTTCAGATTTTTTATTTATCGATTAGTTAAAACGATTATAGTCGTTATGTGTATATATATATATATATATATATTACGAAAATAATCATAAATGCATCAGTATTTCAATACAAATTAAGCAACATAATAATATACAGAGCCTCATTGAACGCCTTGTGTATAGTGGCAGCCAACGAAATAACGGCGAGTTCGCGCGACATTGTGTTGTTAAAAACCAAATGACGACAAACATACATAATATACATATGAGCTCGCATACATATTGACACCAATTTTGGATCTGGCGGAGTTGACAAATTTGTTTCAATCGACAATTTTACGACACATGTCGTCGGCTATGTTGTCTCGTTTGTCCTTTTGCAGGGCTTTGCTTTGAAATGACTTATGCTCTTTTGAAATATCGATTACCAATTGGGTGCATTTTATAGCGTCGTATTGATATAATGGCTAAATCGAAAACTATGAAATATGATAATAAATAAACATATAAAATACTATATGGAGCTGTGCTTAGAATATATAGAAGTAGTTAAAGATTTCTTATAATGGCAATTTTATATAAATTTTTTATAATGCCATATATAGTGCATATATGAAAAAATAAATATTATTTAACTCGCTAATAGGTCATGTTGCCAATTCTCCTTTCTGAAGGAACATCAGACAAATCTTTCAATTTCTGATTTTAGCATCGTGTGAGAGGCAGCAGCTTGTGGGCAACATACAAATGCGAGGGGGATGGTAGATTTTCAGTGTCAAATTCTAAATTGAAATTTATTCTTCTTTTACTGAAACATTCAAATTAATTCATTATTTTTATTTTCGCGCATTTGCGTAGGAATTCTATATGAAAACCAAATGTGCTTACAGGCGCACAGAAAAAATGCGCGGCGCAGAGTTATGAACGACCACTTTCTTAAGCAGACGCACTTCTTATGAATGAATTTGTTGTCGTTTAAATGAAATACTTAGAAAATAAGGCGAGTTCTTTGAATATTATTGGTCGATGATGGTGCGTCTACGTTTTTTGTCACATGCGCGAATTTGTTTTTTTGCGAAAGCATATTGAGACATACATATACATATGTGTCATATGTGCATATATGCAAAATATTTGGACATGAATGAAGGAAGGCAATTTCAAGAATATTCACATATAGACATATAAACACTGAAGAAGTAAACAACAATAGCTGTTTGAGTTCACAGATTAGACAAATATTTTCTAATATCATCTCTGGTGCTGCTGTATAGCACACTTCCTTATTGCAATAAAATGTTTTGCCTAAGTTCAAATTCCTATCATATTTTTATATATTATACTATTTTTATTTTTATAACCCTTTTTATGAAATGATATTTGAATTCTATTTTAATATTATTTCCCTGATTATTAATATTTTCCTGTCAGAAGTCAATTTCTTTCGTTTTATTATTTTAATTGTTTATGCGCATATCAAAGAACATCTTGCATATGTATGTGTATACATTTTGCTTATAGAGTGGTGTAGTTCGTTTCGTACCCTGATAGTTGTGTGAAATTTATTTTCCAATTGCGCGTTTTCGATGTTCCTCCATCGTAATTAAATTATACTGCTAACATTTGCTCCATCTCATCAACATTCTCTGCTATAAGTTACTCGAATGTATGTATGTAGCAAGTATGAATGTTGTATAAAATATTCTTTTATATGCGATTCTTAGTCAAACTTTTTGGTTATTACGTACTCATTATACAATCTAATTTAGTTGTTTAAAATTAGTATGTTAGTATGTTAAAATAAAATCATAAATACAAAATATATTGCTAAAATAAAACTATACGTTATGTTCATATTTATTCTCTGTGCAACTTAGTGTTTGCACATCGAAATATAGGTGTATTTGATTCGCTATATTCAATGCTACCAAGTTTTGTTTTGCACATTTTAGAGAAAAATTTACTATTTTGAATGAAAAAAACAATTTTTTTCTTGTTTCTTGAAAAATTAAGCCATAATACTTTGGCTGCGAGTGCGATCACCGGTGATCACAACGAAAAGCCACCCAGGAGCCAATGTAATCACCGGTGATACACGCCTATACTTGTAATCAAAACACATGTGTATTGTTGCGTGACGAAGTGCGAAAGAATCATGAACCTATTCGGCATGCGCCAGAAGACATGTTAGCGCGGGTCGCACCCCATGTACTGCCCATATGTTTGAGCATCTGGAAGTTTTTTCCGCGGTGATTGTTCGTAGAAAAGAAGAAGTGAAATTTATGAACTCTCAAAAACTTAATATTTCGAGAATGTTGTTTGCCCAACTATTGATCGTTTCCCAAACCACTACAGTTGATGACAAAAGAAAGTAATCGTCCTCGCGTAGTTCGAACCAATTCAGCCATAACAAGTACTACAGATTTTGCCCCTCGCGATCTGCAGGATTACAGCCTGAGAAATACCTTCAGGTGGATTGAAATCATTTTTTGTTATTAACTTATATTATTTCTTATAGACTCAACTAGTTTCATACTTCTTTGCTTAACCAAAACAACTACATTTATTAAATCAAGCTAATTAACTCAATTGTGATACAAATATATAAACTCAATAAAAGCAAACATTAACCAGAGGATCGGAATCCGTATTATGCGATATGATTTTTATAGCCAAGGTCTAGACTCTTGATTACCATCCATTCAATTTGAGTGCCATACGTCATATTATACTCTCGCAACTTGTGCTACGAGTATAATAGTTTTGTTCACCTAACGGTTGTTTGTATCACTAAAATAATCGAGTAGATATAGGGTTATAGTATATAGTAATGATGAAGAGCGAGTTGAAATCGGGGCTGTCTGTCCGTCCGTCCGTCTGTCCATCTGTCCGTCCGTCGTGCAAGCTGTAACGTTTGAGTAAAAATTAGACATCTTTAGTAAACTTGGAGACATGTACTTGGTACCGTGAGACGGTGGTATTGCAGATGGGCGTAATCGGACCACTTCCACGCCACAAAACGCCATTAATCAAAAACAATATAATTCCATACTAGCTCCGCAATAAGATCCAAGACTGTTATTTGTACACAGGATCAGATTAGGAGGCATCTGCAGTTAAGTTTTTTGTCGTGGTCCGCCCTAATAGGTTTAATGGCATATCTCCTAAACCGCTAATGCTGTAATAACTAATCACTGGAAGCAAATGTTTTAGAACCTCTATTGACGGTGTGGAAATGGGTGACAAGCTCGCCCACTCCCCATATAACGGTACTGTTAAAAAACCGAAAGCGCAATAAACCAAGCACCGAACACGCCAGAGACATTAAATTATCTCTGGATGGTATGAGATGACTTTATAGAAACCACGTTCAAACTAAGCAGTGAGCTCGGCACCGCCGCACTTAGTTTCCCATATCTTGGATCTTAACAACTCGGTGCAAACGTTTTTCATATCATGTTATAGTGCGAATATGCGAAATCGAGCTACACCACGCTCTTATCCATCACCATTTACAATCCCATCTGATTATTTCCTCTTGTTCATATCACAGCAACAAATGATATATCGGGGTAAAACTTTGCGTGAATAATACGTTTAAGGTATGCCACCTTGTGACCGAAATTGTCTAAATTGAACCAAACTGTCCAAGCCCTAAGTACTAAAATTGTGTGACCCGCATGCCTATAGTTGATCCTTCATCGAATATCGATAATCCACAAGAAATCTCAAACGAGTATACCATTTGACTTGCGAGAGTATAAAATGTTCGTTACATCTGAACTCGCCCTTCCTTACTTGTTAAGACAAATTCTTCTTAATATCATTACAATATCACACGTATTGACGACATAAAAGCTTTAAAGTCAGATGGAAAGTCAAAAGATGAATGATCACTATTTCGCATACATTGGAGCTAGGAGACCTGGACTATTGCATTCACATTTGCATTACTCAAATATTCTCGAAACATGTGAAGATAAGTCTCATATTGACCGACTTATTTGGGCATAAAGTCTGCTAGACTAACGAAATTCTATAAGTCGTATATGGAGCTGGATAATTCGTGGATCGTAGGTTCGTATATCCAGTGTTCACTAATTTTGTTAAGATATCTTACATATTGACCTATATACGGTATAAAGCCAACCGAAAATAAAATTATATACAAGGTATATGGGTCTAAGGACCGTATTGATCCGATTTTATCCAGTTTTGGTAATACACATTACCAGAAAATATGTTCTCCAAATGTTATTAAGAAATCACACAGTATGACCAATATATAAAGTAAAATTCAAGCGGATGATTAAAATCCTTTATTAAGTATTTGGAGGCAAGTAATGTTATATTCGGTATCTATTCTTGCACATCTTATCCGTGATATATTCACTACTGCTGCTTGATTTGTATGCAGGATAAGCATCAGATGCAATTTAAAACTGTTATTTCCCTATTTATGTTTATATAAGGCATGTTTGATTCGAGATCGCCGACTCTCACAATGTAAAATAAAGTGTCAGAATAGTATTATCTAGAAAATTTGGTTGAAATTCGTTGAGTTGTCCTGAATGATAAACTCACCTGAAGGTAGGAGGTACATGCCCATTTTCTGATTTTCATACGGCTTTCATAAAAGACTTCCATACCATGTTTACTAGTGAGTTATCGTACTTTTAACAGTTTTCAATAACCGTTGTATGGGGGTGAGTTGGGATATTACCCATTTCCACGTGTGGAGAAAATGCAAAGGATTTCTCGTGAGTGAATCGGTCAATATAGCGTTTGAGATATGTTATTAACTTATAAAAAGCAGGTCCCACCACTAAAAAAATTAGACCTCAAATGCCCTTTCTATTGCGATTCACTTCACAAATCAGCAGAATTTTATTTTCGGCTAGTCATGGCACTTTATGATTTTAATTCGTCTCGTCATCCTGATCAGTTATATAATATATCCATTACCCGATAAGTGGTTGATAAACATCTATGAACACCCGTCTTGCTTTTGAACTCTTGTAAAAATGTTAAATCTCTCTCTCACAATATTCTCTTCACAAGTACCCTCTGTGTTAATAGATAAGTTTACAGATTGACCAACGAAAGTTTTGTGCTTTACGAGTTTTTGGCGTATTCTCAAATTCCTTGGTAGCATTTTTTGTTTTGTGGAATAACATAATTGATTACGACATCTGGGTTGATATCTCGTGGTATATTTTTTTTTCTCTTCAATCAAGTTTTCTTCTTGCAGTGATATTCCTTCGTCATAGCGTAATTTCGCTGTTATGTTTGGGAGAACCGTAGCTATGGGGCGGCATAGTTGTGAATTCGTTTGCCAATGGGACATATTTTGCGAGTTTTGACATTGATTCTCAGAGTTCTCCTTATGTATCATACTATTCATTTGAGGGCGAAAGGTATCAGAAGGGCTTTCTGCGTCGTTGCTGTTCAATGCCTGCAGTGAGTGCCAGTTGATCAGCCAATTATTGCAACTGAAACATAGGTATTTATCTTCGTTTAGTGGCTGAAAATAAAAAGCAAATAATTGTTAATATTGCTTTAAAAACTAAAAAAATAAATTATTTTCTAAACATAATTTGTCATTAAAATCTGGTTGCCAAATTGAGTTAAGCTAACATATATTCACTCGTATATAGTACATATATACATATACCATAGATATATCTCTACGTATCTTTTATCGCTGATGGTATTTTCAATAATCAGCCAGAATAACGTTTCTTTGATTATTATTATAATCTTTATTAAAGTCGACTGAAGAGGTTTTAACTTACTTACTAAGTAATATTTTATTAATGTTTTATAACCAATTGGTATGGATTAAAGGTCTAAATATTGTATTACCAAATTATCTAAATCTCGACACTGCTTCAAATCATGGAAGAAATCATTTCTTTAGAGAAAATGGGAGCATAACAATGTTTTAAAGAATACAAAATTACTATTGAGTAAAAAAGCAAAAACAAAAGAAAAATACTTAATCATTAAGTAGATATTTGAATAAAATGTAATACTAGTAACAAAAATAAAATGTTTAAAAGAGAGCTTGACGTATACACCTATTATGTGTACACAAACATACTTGGGTAATTGTACGTATGAATGTAAATATGATTATGCTCACTTTATAGGTATTAAAGCTAACAAAAGGTGTGGAGAAGGAGAAATCATTCAGTGGCAGCTGCCACAAAATTGCACCGGCTTTCCGTTTGTTTTGAGTCAAAAAAATATAAGACACGACATTTGGTATATTATGTATTTACATATGTACCTACATACATATGTACGTGCCGTGTAGGTACTTACATTTAGTTGATTGAAAATAAGAACAGTTTAAATGCAACTTTGTTGTACAAATGTAGATATTCTAGTAGCGTTTATAAATGCTAAACAATTAGGCGTTATCTATGTATGTATAAACGTACATACATACACATACTTCGTATGATCAAAGTGCTACGCTCTGGCAGTCGATGTCATTCGTCAACACCAGGTGCAAAAGCACACAAAAAACTAACTGTGTTGTAGAGGATCCTCTGCATGTGCCTTTACATATCAATGTATGTGCGTAAATATGTAGATACGCACATACTTGTGAAGGATGGAAAACATCTGTCGTATTGCCAGCATCGTTAATGTGATGGAGCATTGTCTGTACGCACTTTGCTGTGCTGCTTTGATATCGAATTATGGAACGTTGGCAACAAGAGCAACGGCAAAATACGACATATGTATGTTGTGGTCTTGTACTATATTTCTGAAAGTAGAGCGACATTAAAATCCGAATGCAACAACCAACAAACCAAAAAATGAGTATGCCACTTGCAGCTGCTATAGCTGCTGCCGCTTCATGCAATATTACCATCACCTGTAATTACTAGCGATTAATTAAAAGTTTCTGTAATATTGTATAGCCCTTTCGCGGCTACTGCGCTTGCTTACATACATATGATTGCAAAAATAAACGCACAAAATGCTTAACCACTTACATACATATACTATATATGTATGTGTATGCATGTATACGTATTCATAATTATGCGACTTTCTAATGCTTATCAGATGAAGGCCTGTGCATTTGACAGGACCTAGCTAATCGGTGAACTTTTGTGTATATAATGACCCTGATCACATCGCTAATTTCAACTAATTTTGCAACCATATAGTTAGAAAGTTAATATATTTACACATATGTAATGTATATAATATAAGCATGCAAAAATATATTAATTGCGGCACTTGCTGCTCTTTAATTTATAATAGTTGCACAAATTTTAAAATAGTTTAACTATCTAATATCCTTAATTTAGTATCTATGTATAACGTCTATGAGCATATGCATACATGAAAACATACACATATTCACGCGTCCTGCTGGAGTTGTTGTGACTCATTCTGTGTTCAACGTTATCGATTTTTTGGGAATGATGATACCCGTGGAGGTGTAATTTTCTATTGTCTAATATATGCACAGTTAACATTTTTCATTTTGTTGTAGCGGAACACACCTGAAATTTGAATTTCTCTTGAATAAGTTCAACAATATTAGGCCCACTTCTCGGCTCGTAGATGTTGATTGTTTGATTTGTATGGCAGCCGCAGATTAAGCAAGTTCTCTTCAAAAATTCTGATAATTTTCCTGACATTTCCTGTCTTCTGCTCTGTGCTAGCAGGTACACTTTATATTATAGTTTAATCAAAATTATTTAAAATTAATTTTCACCAACACTTAATTTATTTTTCAAAAACCAAATTTGTTATCAATTCTATATGATATATGAATGAAATTATTCACACGCATATCGAGGAGGCACTACGTAAAATTTGACCAACATTTCCGTGCCTCTTCTCCTTCACTGCAATATGCAACACAAACAACCGACACGTCCTTAACTGCGGGCAAATGACTTGTGAATGAGGCGTACATAGCGAGAGTTCGTACCGCTTTGCAGCTGCTTCTTGATTGTGCAATGCATTCTAGTCTAGTTCGCTTGGCTGTTCAATTGCCAATCCTATATGTGCCAGTGTTTATGTTTGAGCACACTCCTTCTGAATTGCTCTCTTTCTCTCATACCAGATTATCACCAGGTATTCTCTTTCAAGTCCTTTCTGTGATACATAAATATGCATGCGTTTTGCACATTCATTTCAGTCCCAAAAAAAAAGGTTTTGATATTTACTGTTGAACAGTATACCTAAATAATAATTTAAAAGCAGAAGCATATATGTATGTAGGTATGTATGCACAGGTGCGAACGGTGAAATAGTAGTGGGTGTTGGAGTTTTACATTTCTTTGAGTTATGCAAAATACCAAACAATTTTAACATCCATTGAAATGCAAAAGTGAAGCATATTTCCCAATCTATGATTATTAATAAAAATAATTTGCATATTTGCAAGATATGAAAATTTAGATAGATGTGTTTATGTCTGAATATTGTAGGGAGCAGTAAAATAGTAGTAAAGTAATAAAAAAATTTTAAAGGATTTTTGCAAGTTTTATCTATACGAAATCTCAGTACTTGGTAGCATGGCCATAACCTCAATTCCATTGATCCGAAACCATTCCTTTGATACCCTACTGGTATGCTTCCGGTCATTATACTGCTGTAATATACATTTCAGCGGCATGTCATCATCAGCAAATGGTATCATAAATCTACGTATGTGTATCGGCCCATTATGTCAGCAATCTTTTTAATTGAGCCTACACCTCTGTAATAAGAACAGCCCCAAACCATGATACTCAAACCGTCAAAAATCTAAACTGCATATGCCTCTCCCTAATGTGATCCTGTATATCAAATAACAGTATTGTTTCTTATTTTGGAGCTTAGTTATGGCAATTTATTTGTTTTTCATTATTAGCGTTTTGTGGGCGTGGCAGTGGTCCGATAACGCCCATCTGCAATATCTACCGTCTTAAGGTACCAAGAAACATATTTACCAAATTTCATAAATCATATCTCAATTTTTACTCAAGTTACAGCTTGCACGGACGACGGACAGACAGTCACCCTATTTCAACTCGTCTCTTCATCCTGATCATTTATATATATATAACCCTACATCTAACTCGAAAAGTTTTAGGTGATACAAACAACCGAAAGGTGAACAAAACTATTATACTCTGTAGTATCAGGTTGCGATAGTAGAAAAAAGGCAATATCACAAAAGAAACTAAATTTAAAGCAAACATCTCTTTGCGAATAGGCACTACTACTTGAATGCTCCCAACTGTATATGCATACATATTTTTGGAACTAGAAATAAATCTGAGTTTTATATTATAATTATAAGTAGTTTAATAAAAATAAAAAATCAATTTTATAAAATACAATAACCTATTGTATTTTTTCATGTTTTGATAATTTTTGGGTTTAAAATTAATTAATTATTTGTTATATAATGTTGTATCAATATCAAAAATTTTAAAATCTTGTAGTAGGTTCAGCTAAATTTCATTGTATAAAACTTTAATTCAAACTTCTTTAAATTTCTTGCACGACTTAAGTTTTCGGCGACAAAGGCTGATTTTAACCGGTCGATGGGGATGTTCACGTTCTTTCCCCGGATTTTGACTTTGAAAAACTTGTCGTTGCGTTCGACTACTGGAAATGGTCCCTCGTACGGTGGTTGAAGCGGCTGGCGAATTGCGTCATTGCGCACGAAAACTGATGCTGTTAAGTGCAGGTTCTTTTCCACGAATGGTGCATGAGATGAGTTATTTGTTGTTGGTGGCGGTCTCAGTGTAAGCATGCGTATGCGTAAATTTCCGACAAATTCACCTTCGGTGACGTTGTGCGTATGATCTTCGGAAAATAGCTGACCAGGTAGTCGAAGAATGTTGCCGTATACCATTTCTGCGGGTGCAGCTTTTAAGTCATCTCTCTGCCTGGACCATAAGCGGCAATCTTTTCAGAGACCAGGCCACACGAACTTCTCCGCGATCAAATTTGTGGTTTTGGAGGCGCCGGTGTGTGCCATGTTGTGTATGGAGTCGAAAGCTGTTTTGCGAATCGAAGGAGTTAGGTGTGGTCGGGCTTTGCTGGTGCTTACATCACAAAAGATTTCTATAGCTGTGCCTGGAACCGTGAAAAGCTTAATTTGTAAGCTGGAATTCGAATTTAGTAATTCTTTAATCTCTGAGTCAGATTTTTGAGTCTTTGCAAGTTTGGCGAAGTCGATGGTGTTTGGAGTATGTATGGTGCCAATATGTGACATTGTATCTGCTATTATGTTGTCTTTTCCGGGGATATATCGAATGTCTTTTGTAAATTGTCCGATAAATTCAGAATGGCACCTACAGCAGTTTCCGGAAGCATCCACTGTCAAACTGAGTTGAGTCCCGGGTTTAGGAAAGGCGAGTAGAGTTGCTTTACATAAGTCGTTTTTACACTGCTGGAATGCCTCTTTTGCTTCGTCCGTCCATTCTACTGTTGATGTCTCGTTTTTCTTATTACCTTTCACGAGTTTGAATAATGTCATTTGCGTTTCGGCGACGCAATGCAAAAATCAGCAGAAAAAGTTTACCATGCCGAGGAAACGTCGCAAGTCACATGCTCTAGGTAGGTAGTTTAATATTTTTAATGGCATGCACTCGTTCTTCTGGTGGTGAAATTCCGCTGCTGTTTATCTTGAAACTTAAGAAATTCACTTGCGGCTGGCCTAGTATACACTTCGAATGGTTGATGACCAAACCGTACTCGCGCAGTTTTTCGACCACTAATTGCAGATGTTGACGATGTTGGTTCATATCCTTCGACGATATCAAAATGTCATCGAGATATGGTCAGGCGAAATCGTATTCGCGGAAGACGTGATCCATGAATCTTTGGAGCGTTTGACTAACATTTTTAAACCAAAGCACATGAAAGGGAATTCAAACATGCCAAATGATGTGGTGATTGCTGTTTTTGGTATATCGCTGGGTTCGACAGGAATCTGGTGGTGGCTCGCCGCAGATCGGGTGTGGAATAAATTCTGCAACCATGCAATGAGTGCGTGAAGTCGTGTCAGGTTCGGTGACTACGCTTAGTCGCCTGAAATCCCCGCATGGCGTCCACTCGCCGTTTTACTTTTTCGCCATGTGTAATGGGCTGGCCCATGGGCTGCGAGATGGACGACAAATGCCTGCATCTAGTATGAATTGTATCTCGGCTTTTGCTGGTTTTAGTTTCTCAGGTAATAAGCGTCTCGGTTTCGAGAAAACTGGTGGCCCTTTGGTGACGATGTGATTGTGGTATATTGGTCATGAAATTTTCGACCGTGATGTCTTTGAATCTCTCAGCAAATCCTAAAACGGTTGATTTTTGATAATGCATGATAAATTCAATACTACTTCATTATTAGCTGACACTAAACAATGTTTGCTAACGCTTGTGATGTCGTCGATGAGTTTTCGTTGTCGTAGGTTGACCGACAAGTTAAAATCCGCTCCGATGATGGCTTGTGATACGTCGGCAACTATGAAATTCCAGGAAAATTGGCGGAGTAGACCCAAATTAACATACATAACTTTTTCACCGTAAGTTTTTATGGTGGACCTGTTTGCTGCGTAGAGATAGTTACTTTTGTCAGGATGTCTACGTTGTTGTTGCGTTGGTGGAATTACGCTGACTTCGGCTCCCCTATCGATGAGAAATTTCATTGCAGATACCTTATCTCGAACTATTAAGCGGCGGTTTGCGTTGTTGATAAAATAAAAGAAAAAATATTGTAAAATTTAGAATTTATGATTTTCAGGATTTGAACGTAAGTGCCCGTATTCACATTGAGCTTAACTCGATCACACATCAGCCACCTCAAAAGGGGGAAATAGCCGCTTTAGCTTGTGCTTTTACCTAATACTCGCTAAAGCCTCCTTCATTCATTGAATTTATGGCTGTGTATAATGCTAGTGCGAATTTATGGCTGTGTTTAATGCACAGGTCACGGATATTCGAAATAAGTGTAGCAGTGTTGCGGATGTTACAATAAGCAGATAAGCAAGAAAAACTTGTCTTTGTTATGTATCGCATATTCTAGTGCAAACGTCAAAAGCCTCGGCTGTAAATACTGACGAGTAACACGGAAGAATCCCGCCTGTTATAAATTCTCCGCTTGGTTTGTTGAGAGCAAAAGCTGTTTTTGTCGTTTTGGACCCGTCTGTATAAATTGTATCCCATTGTTTTCTTCATAGGTTTTAATTAACTCTAAAAAATGTTTCTGAAATACTACATTACTCGTGTTGGTCTTTTTGAAGGCGTGAAGAGTCATGTTAATAGTTTCTTTTTTTTAACAATCACTCCGGCTGTTTGTTGACTTCTTTGCACTTGAGGGATGAATGTATGTTTAAGTCTTTTCCGTATTTGATACAGCGACGTAAAGTGGATTTTAGCCTGAAGTTCCGTTTATGTGACACGTAAACTACATTTTTATGTAAGTTGGCATTTAGAGAGTACTCGTATATCAGTTTTCGAATTAGTTGCATCGTTGTTTCGTATACCGTTTCCTTTATTGTTGGTAGGCCTCATTCCGCCAAGATACACTTAATGGGTGACGTAGGAAACGCATTTATACTCCGACGGCTGCATGATAAGAGGTTCTAACATCATCTACAAATGGGTAAACCGTAGTCGATATTAGCGAGTATTATGTCTCTTGTAGCATTCATTAGGGAATTGGGATGGATAAAAGATCGTTTACTAGTTAAATATTTAATTATGTGTAACCTTTTTGTTAACTTATTTCCTAGGTTATATATACTCTTAAGTTTTTAAATTGCTTACTGATTCTATTGTATTACAATATTTTCAAAAATTAACTGTGGATATTCACATTTTGTCTTTCTGCAAATACATATGTATATAGTAATTTACAAGTTCATTTTGGAATGGAAATTGTGGCAACAGATTTCATGAACCATTTCTTAAATTCAGTTAGTATTTTCTTTAAAATATTGTTTGTAGTTTGAGGATCTTTTATATTACAATAAGTAATAGCATCGTCCGCGTACATTGTGAGTTTAATGCCTTTAGTATTAAGGCATATTTCAGTTAGCTTATCAAAAGCGATAATAAGCGATAGCGGTGAGCCTTGCGGTACACAATTTTTAAGAGGA